CTACAACTCCCTTACTACAGCAGAGCCTTTTTTAATGTTACTTCTCAAATTAATCTTTTAAAGAGACACCTAATTACTTCACCATTACATTTTGAGACTATAAAAGCACTTTGTTTGAAAGTAAGACACTGAGCCAAAATCAAAATGAATCCACCTGTAATATTGCTTTTGTGTGGGAAGTAGGGTTGGGTGATGAATAGAAGATACAACACATTTTTATATACGAAATGGCTTGATGATGTATTGATATACCAATTTAATTAAGTTATTGTAAATGTAGACAATATGGTTTGCCGTAAAAAAATGCAGGAAGAACAAATAGGGCAGTGCCAGAAAAAGTAACATGATGTACACGCAGACTAGAAAATGTAACACGAGGTGCAAATCAGACAGGTGGTATGGATTGGGGATTGCATAGTGAGACACCGTGCAAAGCCCCACCCACAAAAAAAGGCCAGATAGTGAAATGCAAAGAAAAATGCAGAGCAAAGGGAAAGAAATATTGCAAACCTCAATACATGTATGGTAAAGAAAAATGAGTGCCAAAAAAGCAGAAAGAAAAACTATCAAACAAAATCTCAAAAAATTGGGCAAAAAAAAAAAAATCTAATACCTTAATTGTTGTTTACAGTAAACACCATTTGTTTGCAGGACTATATGGGCGTCATTTCACTCCATACATTTGAACAACATGGATGGATGGATGGACATTTGTTTTTCCATTTTTCCCTTCCATGCCCCTTCTGTCGTTCAAGTGAAACAGGTCAGGAGAGGAATAAACAGCACTGATAAAAATGTTATACAATGTCTTATTTTGAATATACCTGATCTAATTGTTAAATACTTGATATATTTGTTTAGATTTCAGGCACTTGGATTTTTAGTCAATCTATATTATTTCTAAGAGTTCTATCACATGTTAAATTATGTCCAGCAGAGATACCATTTTTGTGTTTCCCATTGGAAAAAATTGATGTGAATAAATAAAATTCATTCTGACTTTCGGTCCCAACTTTTTAAAAGTATTTCAGAGAAATTTTGATACTGAAATATGTCGAATATCAATACAGTGACCTAAAATATCAAGATATTGTTTTTGCAACCCTATCAACCAGCCCTAGCAGGAAGAGTAACAGTACTAATTCAGATAGCCATCCTATTAATGATTACTTAAATATACACTTCATCTTAACAATAGAAAACCACAGCTGAGGGAAATGTCTGAAAAGTCTGTAGCATTGCTGTGAAGCATTAATCTTGTTTGGTTAGGACATTGTACTCGTCCTTCTTTTGAAAACGTACTGCTATTAAACTTAAAATATTTTTGAATTTGTACAAGTACCTAGGAATTCTTTGCTTTTACATTCTATACCCAGCTCTCCATTTACAGGTGAGTGTAAGTTCTATGGGGTCACACAGCACAGACTCAGCTGGCACGCAGCACTCCTACAGTACATGCATTTATAGGCTTTGCTCAAGGCCCCAGTGATATGATTAAACTACTGGCCACAGAATTTGAACCTACGACCTTCTGGATATGGACACGGTCCAACTTCCTGTGCCACATGTTTCACAGATTTTTTATAAAAAAAAAAAACACTAAACCAATTACACAGCTTAGCAATTCCACTACATCATGTTTTCCACTAAGATAAAGTTTATTTGGTTTGTATGGGCAAAGCAGTTTATTTTCTTAAATGCAAAATGAAGATCAAACCATGGTAAATAAGCATAATGCAAAATGTATTAATGTAGTGTCTAATCTACCATATCTGAAGCATTATCACAAATGAGAAAACTGGACGACAAAATCCACACACTACAGATGACTGAGGCAGGATTTTAATGACAAAGTATAACTCAAAATTCTCATCTTCATTTTTTGCAAGAGAAATCAAATACCATGTATTGCACCCCTGAAAAGAAGAGTTTGATAAAATTGGTAGGTAGCTAAAATTAAGAGAAATTAAAGTGTTGAAAAAATATTATTCAGATGTTGCAGTGCTGCAACTCAGTATTAATACTTATATGGTTGTGTGTGTACTGGAATTATGACAATTTAAACTGTCAAAATAAGGACAAAAACGTAGGCATTTCCAAGACTTTCATAAAAATCAACCTTGTCAATTGTATGGTTAATAGACCTCAAAAGATATTCAGAAGGGATCAGGGATACTGATACCCACCTCAGATTTCAATCTCAACATATTAAGTGTGTTGAGCCAAATTCATTCTGTGCTTAAGAAAGCTTTTTTAATGGTGAACAGAGATAAGTTAAAGACCAATATACTGCTTTTTCCATAATCATCCCTACTAGGTTTTGTTCATTAAACATTGTGTATACACAAACAACTGTTGCTTTAATCATGAACTTGTGTCAATGAAAGGTTTTCGTATATAAAAATGTGTTGTATCTTAACTTAAATATAGATTATATGCAATGCATAAATAGTAAGATTATGGATGGATAAAACTGAACACAATTACATGTGGCTGTACAACTTTCATTGTGGTAAAGTGATGTGACAGCTTATGTTTCTCCACTCTGCTTCAGTAAACAATGGGCGGTGACAACCTTGAACAACAGTGGATGGCTTTAGTACAGAAACAGAGAAGTAAAATTCTGCGCTCTGCATCAGCGCGTCTGTCACGCCTTCCTGGCTGTTCATTGGTCTTTGCTCCCCCTGTTTCCAAGAGACTTCAGCCAAAGCAGGAAGGAAGTACTGCCTTCCAACTCCATAAAAGGCAGCGGCCCGTCCGTGCTGCTCCTTCGTTTTAACCAATCACAGAAAACTTAACATATGCAGACGTAAACAAGCCAAAACAGCAGGACCAGAAAACACGGCCATAACTGCTGAAATGACGCATCTGAAATACTATGGGAATTTTCAGATCTGCTCGGGATTCTCTCTCGGAAAATATGTTAAAAAGACAAGGAAACTTATTCACTGCGTACCAAGGATGCGCATAAAAATAAACGCGGCCGATTAAAATCCCGGGCAAGAAAGTTACAGTAGCGCCACCCAACCCCCTTTCATTAAAGATGACTGTTTCCGAGCGCATTACAGGGTGTGGCTAAAACGAAATAGTGAAGATATATATATATATATATAAAAACCAAGATTGAAGTCATAGGGAAACACGTCAAAGTACAAGGAAGCGTAATATGTTGTCCTACCGAGATACCCACGTTTAACTGTATACGAAATTACATCCAGAGAGCGTCTTGTAGTTAAACTTAATTTCAAAATCGATTAACATTCTTTCATCTTTATTTTACGCGATTCACTTTTCCTCGTTTTCTTTGGATTTCATAAGGGTACATTTAAGAGCTAAAAAGCAGAGGAAATTTCGTACTATGAATCTTCTCACAACTAGCTCGATCTCCGATTTTGTAAGGAAAGATGCCCATCCAAGTCCTTCAGAGACATTCATCTTCCTCTTTGTAATTGCTTAAGAAAATCAAGTGGTAAACAGACTAATACGTGGTATACACGCTTCTCAAAAATGACTATTAAATGCTGGTTAGTGTGGTATAACTGGAAAACAGCGCTCGAAACACGCAAAAAACACAAAGCCTGCTAAAATGGAAACGTCTACACTAGCGGTAGCAGTGAGCTTAGAAAATAAACGCTTATAGGGGAGACCTTGACCTAGATCATGTACGCTATTACAATAATTGCACTTATATTTATTATATTGCAACTGACTTATGAGACCAAAGAACTAAAATATTTTTTGATAATTTATAACAAATGAATAGTTCCTTGGGCAATATAGATAGTTAACTTGTCTAAAAGTGGCGCCAAAAATCTTCATGGCTTACACACATCACGGCGGAAAACGGCGCTGGCAGGCAAGCGAGCTGACAAATGCGGGATAAAGTTCTTGATACACAGCAGCCTAACTCACAAAGGCATCCCCGTTAAGCCCAGATTAAATGTCAAATACCGGCTTTAAGGCCTAAACCGGTGCACCGACTAGCTAATCGAGGCGAAGCGCCCCACGTAGCTACACGATCGCGGAGAGAACTACCGGGAGCTGCAAAGCCCAGTCTCCCACACCAGCAGAAGCAGGCTACTTAAATACCCCCCACCCCCCGCTAACCTACACCGCATACAGAATAAGGAGCTTCCCGATGTCGAGGAGCGGCTCCAGATTCACCCGGAGCTGCACGCTAAGCTTGAGGGCAGAGCAGCGGGCCGGTGAGGGCAGGGACGCAGTAGGCACGGTGCCCGTGCGGCCGGTGGCTCAGCCCGCCGCCTATGTATGCGCTCACTAAGGGCTAAATCTTCGCTCCCGCCCGCAGTCACTCACTCCACCGACGATCACCTCGAGTATCACAAGATTAAACTACGTGAGTCTCACTCGCGATGATAAAACTGAAATCTATCCGAAAGTAAAAAAAAAAGCCAGGAAAAAACAATCGGGGGAGAGAAAAAAAAATCTCCATTTTGAAGCCTGCCCAGCAGCTGTTCTCTGGATTCTCCATCTTGGCTCGCTGTTAAAACGCGACATTTCCTTATTTGTATATCGACGCGTCAATCGCCGCTTAAAAGTAAATCGGCAGGAATCCAAAAAAAGCATCTTAAAAATCCAGCAGATTCGACTTTCGACAGGAAGGGACTTGGAGAGCACGATCCCGTTTTCGAAAAACATCTCGTCCTTGTCCTCCATCTTGACTTGGAGTTAGTTCCAATAACTCCGCGCTGTCACGTTTGAAACATTTCCGACATCATTAGAGAGATAACAAATGACTTTCTTCTCAGAATTAAAGCCTCGCCGCGACCGCCGAGCCCCGAAACGGCCCTAATCGCACACATTTTAAACGTGACAGTGAAAGACTGAGGCATCTTTGCGCGCATATCGCTTTGCCTCGTCCGCTTTCCTGACACCGAAACACGAACCCCCGACACACTGCTAGCGGCTAGCATGCTAGCCGCCAACAAAACACCAAACCAACAAACTTCCAGAACCTTCTCCGCCATTTTACAACTTACCTCGTCGTCGATGGCAGCCGCGGCGCACTCCCAGCCGTCGCGCGTTTAAAAAAGGTTTCGGCAGCCAACGTCCTAATTCTTCGTAGCTATTTCACAGACGAGTTTGAAAGTGGCGGTCAGAGGCCGTTTTGGACTCTCTTTACCCCGCTTGCTCCGTTCGGTTTGTTGTTTCGATGATTGAGGAGAAGGGAGAGTCGCGCTGCAGAGGCGCCACCTGGTGGTCAGAAGGAACGCGGCTTGCGCTCTGGTGACTGTCTGACATCTAGCGGAGACGATGCGCTTTCAGTTTACAGTAAAAGCTCCGTCTCAGCCATGTTTGAAACCCCGCGGCTTGCGTACGTGTTTCACATTTTTACCTAGAAGTACTGCCGCTACAGCAGCACGTTAGCAAATATTGTCATGCTTACCCTGCACACTTCCAGGTGTTTACCCAGTATTTGAAATAAAAACATTAAATGGGGACTGTGCATGTTTGGAGTTCCATATCCACTAGAATCACCCAGGTTTTTTTAAAATGCGCAGATGTGGAGATATTGTTCTGTTGTGAAAATCTATGGCAAATAATAAAGTCATAAACTGAATGAATGCCCAATCCAGTGTTTCACACATTATTGATGCTGAACCAAACTGACTGACTCAGGATGTTTATCACTAATATGATTTTTCATTTATATTTTATAGCAGTCTTTTAAAATACTGTGTAGAACCTAATACTATCTTAAGTATTATGCGTGCCCCGGTATATTTTGCCACTACGTTGTTCTTTGTCCCCTATTGTTTATACTATTAAGCTATTATTGCCACTCTTAAGCCTTTTGACGCTATTGATTTAAGAAGAAACACTATATACACAGGTCATGCAGATTTCACCACACCCACTAAAATGTCCCCCGAAGTCAAGTCAATGCATGGCTATTTGTTTGGCCTTTGTCTGCATTAACACATCTAATTATTCCTTAACATTAGTAGTTAACGTTGGTTAAATCGTTGTTCTCGTAATCATGTGCTGTCTGTTTTAGTATGTTGTGTAATCTGTCACCAATTATACAGGTTTGTATTAACTTCTCTTTCTGCAGAGTAATCCAAGTACTTATCTGTTAAAGTTACTTTTATATCATGCACATTCGACGACTAAGTGCATTGAGCTCCATCAAGGGACTTTAATGCATTGCTTTTAACATTTTAACCACTCTCCCTGGGACTTCTATACTGAGGATCTTTCTATCAAGTGAAGAAGTAGGAACTGTATTAAAATAAGTCCTGTAGTCCAAAATATAATAAGTAATATAACTTCCCAACGGGTCAGGCAAATTAACTAGTCACAAATATTTCTCGATTAAATTTCGATTAAGTAATCAGATATACAATGATTTTACGAGGTTTTTTGTCTGTTATAATCCATGCAAAACTGTGATAAATATTTTGATATGATCAGGATGGTTAAGATAAAAATGTTTTTTAAGAACAACAGTAATACAATAACGACAATTTGCTACTACGTGTCTCAGCAACAAATACCACGAGAAATATTTGGAGATCTGACTGCCAGACTGAAAGACAGACAGATGGTGGCACTGTAGCCCAAAAAAAACACAACACATGCCTCTTTTGGGTTATAACTTCTGTGGCCTATAGACAAAGCTATTCTATCTGTTGATTCCATGCATAATTTCAGACAAAATTATATTCCATAGTTCCATATGTTGAGCCATATTGCATTTTTGGCCATTTTGATTTTTAGTGGACATCTCTTAGGTTCTATCTGATTGGCAAAAAATCATGGTAAATGAAGCTCATTAAAACTTTCCATATCTATTATATTTGTCAGCCCATAGATCTATGTAAATACATTCCAATCAATTTAAAATAAAATAAAAGCAGCTAAATACAGACTGTTTTCCATTTCCCACAAAATTTAGTGTAAAAACCAGACACATGGAGCGCAGGGATCAAATACACAATCCCTGAACCATGAGGCTGTGGTGCAAACAAATGAGCTTTGTCTTTCTTGTTCATTACAATTACAGATTTGAGGGAAATTCCTTTATATATATAATGATCTAATAAAAAAAAAAAGGAGGGATCAGCTGGCTGTTAAAAAATTTAAAGAAATTGTCTCCCTGGTGTCACATCCTAATTTCTGGTAAAGAATAAGATATTGCACAGTAGAACACGAACAGCTCAATTAAGCCTGATAGCTAAACGCACAGCTAAAATGGCTTCCATTACAGTCTCTCACCAGAGTAATCTTTCTCATCATTCTCTTTGTTCCTTGATGCCATTTGTTTCGTTCGTTACCCCCATGCATTCTGTTACCTGGTGCCATTTTCACTTAATTTAAAAATGGCTTCAAACAGACATGGGGGACGCTGCACCCTGAATCTCCTCTTCAGCGGTGCTTCCAGTCTCCCCCTTACAGACTCATAGGCCTCCTTCTGTATCACACATGGTTTTAGACAGATAACCATCATGATGGTCTGACCCTTTCTATATCGTCACCTCAACAGTGAAACCATGGCCTAATCTCAAACCTTTACCATAGCTGACCATAATTCCCATACCACTGCTAAAATAACCCAATCCTGCTTCACAGTCCGTCCACCAGCTGCTTGTCCAAGCCCTGCTCATCCCTTCTGGCCAAACCTGTTTACTCTGCAGCTCTCATGCAAAGGAACATAATAAGTGAGTACAAAGTCAGAAAAAGAAAGAACTACTACAGGGTACATTTATATTCATATTTAATAGTTAGGAAAAAGGTCCCTGCTCTGCAACACAGAACTCTGTTCCCCCCCCAAGACTTTATACTACATAAGCAATTACTATACAGATTAAGTACACTATCAGCAAAAATGTTAAATATACAATAATATGATATAAATATATATGTGGTTATTTATGGATTTTCTCTTTGATCCCTGGGAAGCATTTTAGAATAAAACATTGCTCATTTTAATAAAAATCAGAGAAAATTTTGAAAAATTAGAGGCATAATATGGAATTATGTATATATTTTAGAATTACACCAGTTAAAATCATACTGAAAAGCATAGATTACACAAAAATAATTTTGATATAACCAGAGAATCGTTCCCAGATCTACTGAGCTTTCACTCACCTCATGCTACTGTAACTCAGTCATCTAATTTTTTAAAATCTATTTACAGCACCTCCCTTTAGAAATGGCGGTGACATTCACACAGTCATTAGCAGCAGCTGGGCAGATTACTGGGACATTTATGAGCAAACAAAACGATGCAAAGATCTCAGCTTGTCAAGTAAGGAAAAAGGCGATTGTGACTAAAATGAATTACATTTCTTACCCCCGGAAAGACGCACAATGAAATAGATATCCCAGTTGGTCTGCACGGTGCAGCAGCATGATATATAACATCTTAGGGATTTGCATTTTCTTTGTGGCATTTAAATCATGTTACATTTTCCCCACTCATTTTACATTCACGTGTAAAGTATGTAGTTGCATGAACCAGAAAGCTTCATTTACACAGATTGAACAAAGATGCATTGAAAGGCCAATTTAAAGATGGATGCAGAAGCTTTGATGAAGAGGCTAAGATATATATGTCTTAATTTTCTGAGTAATCACAGCACAGCAGATGGGGCACTTGCTTAAGGACTTGGAACAGTTACTGCAGGTAACCAGGTGTCCACAGGGGATGAAAACAACAGAAATGTCATTGTCCATGCACACTTTGCACTGTTTCTCCCTTTGCAGCTTCCGTAACTTCTCCAGGGGATCTTCATCTGATAGAAACGACAGCAGACACACCCAACAAATGGTAGGTAGTTACATTCAACTTGCCTTGGAAAGCACTGCTAATATCATATTCATGTTAGGCTATCTAGCAAACCACAGGGAACCAAGAGTCAAAGATTTCTGGCTGATTATTCATTATGCCAGTTGGATAGTTTTGATTCCCTGCGGCAGAAACATAGTATGTTTAGGAAAATGCAAGCATTAGTAAGGAAGTGGGCTATTTATCTACAGTGTCTTTGAATATGAAGGGCTCTCTGTAGAGTGGAAGCAATGAATAAGGCTGGTGACTGAAAGGTGATAAAGACCTTATAAACATCACAATCAATATAAATACCCAATAAGATGTTTTTCCCATCCCAATAGAACAAAAAGTAGCACATATCCAATAGATTTGCAAGAAGTGTTGGTTGAATGATATTATTACACTATATTTGTTAACTGTATTTTCTGACGGAGACCGTGGATGTGACTTACCACTGTTTGCCTGTGGCTCCTCCACAGAACCCTCAGCAGAACCTTTCAGGACATCCTCCACCAGGAGCTCCACCTTAGTGTATCCCTCGCCTGTGCTGCGTATCTTTTCCAGTATGGTGCTTTCCACCTTTGTGGGGTCCAAGCCCATCTCTACAGCCTGCTTTGCAATCTTAAACTGCATGACGTTCTGGCCTGTAGGAAAAGGATCACACACACATTCTTTGTCATGGGTATTAATATCCATGGTTCTCCATTTAAAAAAGATAATAAAAACTGTTGAATATTTAAGTGGTTTTCTTGGGTATTTACCTGTTTCTAGTTTGGAAAATCCATTTTCAGGACTGGTATTCTGTAAAATGTTAATGACTCATAAGACATTTTTCATAAGCACATTCTTTTTAAAGTTTCACATATTTACCAAGTCTCTACCGATTGTACTGTACCACCTAAATCAGCGTTTACTAATGCAGTCCTCGGGGGGCCACTGTCGGTCCACTTTTTTTTGCTCACTTAGAGCTCCCTGCCTTTTGGGGAGCTGGGAGAAAGCAAAAACGTGGACTGGCTGTGGGTCCCAGAGGACCGGATTGGGAAACATTGGGAAACTAAATACCAAAGATACACTTTGGGAACGGGACTGCCACACAGCATGTAGGGCTATTGTCTGAGTGTATGCAATGGCCTTCTGGATGCCAGCATTGTGTTTTCTATGCACTTCCCTTTTAGGCCCCGAACACTCTATGCTTAATTGGAAAAACATGCCATTTCTGAGTAAGGTGCGTGACGATGACATGGGCAGCAGAAGGTACCAGCAGACTTACCTGAGAACTCCTCCTGGTGTCCCCCAGCTGCACACTGTTCACGAACTCCTGGCCCTTTTCTGATAACAGGAAACTGCATCTGCTCATTGATAAAAAGGTAAGGTGAGGAACTGCAGAGCTCATCCACCTCTTTTTCACAATCCTCACAATACAGGTGGTGTGGAGGTTTGCCCTTTGACCACAGTACAGTTCCCGGTACAGTCAGAGGCTGTCAACACCATGTGGCGGTTTTGCCGCATACCCTGGGTAGTGCTTGGCGTGCTCCTCCCAGGGGTCCTCGTCTGGCAGCCAGTTCTTTAGGCCCCCACCGCACTTGAAGCATATCACCCGGTCCAGTGGGCCTGCAGAGAGCAGGACATCAGAAACCTAAGACTCCATGCTGGCATAGCAGCATTGCTGACCGACGTTCCTGTAGGTGTGGCACCTCAGGTAAGTTGTATTAAATCTGCCTCGCTGTACAACACACGACATACTGCATCTCGCTAAAGGGGCTCAACTTTGAGAATCCACCAGAGCACCACCTTTCGCCGCTACCCACCTGAGCTGTAGAAGCCTGCCCTGGCGAGCAGGATGGGGTCCAGAGGGTGCTGAACACCCTGGAAGCTCTGGAGGCGGCCTTCAAAGGTTTCATTGGAGAGCCTCTGTTGCTGTCGCGCCCTCTCCGGGGGATGCTGGGAAGGCACGTTGCCCACATCGTGGCCCAAGATGAAGAAGCAGTTGCTGTAATACTTTTCGTGCTCAGTCCAGGCATCGTCCCCATCATCCCAGTCTGCCAGCATACCCCCACAGCAGAAACACTGCACGCGGTCCCTCTCGCCTCGGTAGTAAAACCCCGCTTGGGCAAGCGCCCGTGCTGTGACTGGGGTCGACGAGGGCCAGCCTACAAAGGATCGAAGCCGAGCATCCTCGCTGCACATGTCGCGGACCATGGGGTACTGCGACTCATCGACCACTTCACCCCTGCGCAGGCGGTACAGCATGTCTTCAGACTCCTCATCATAGCTGCCGTTGATGAGGGAGGTGGGGCAGGCGCCAGACGCCGGGCGCAAGCCGTGGACGCAGCTAAGGAACTTGCAGTCGGGTGACGCCTGTTGGTGGCGGGCCACAGGCGTGTCCCCACTGTGCCAGCCCTCCACCATCTGCTGGCAGCTGAAGCAGCGGACGCGGTCGGCCTTGCCGGTGAAGTAGAAGCCAGCACGGGCTAGCCGCTCCACTGGCACCTGGGGGATGCTGGGAAAGTGGTTAAAGGACTGCAGGCGGGTGACAAGCTCAGACCAGTCCGTGCTGTTATCCGCTTCCAGGTCACTGTCGTACCCTCGGTCAGCCATTTTGGGGGAAGAATGAATACCTGTGACAGAAGAGTGGCATAGAAGGCGTTAAAATTATCAGTTTTAATATCCCTTTGTATTTACTTTCCCAAGATAAAGACCATAACTAGTAATTTGGGCAGAGATATTGGTGTGCTTTTTAAAATTAATTTTAAACATCTCTACTCTGCATAGTTCAATATGTAGATATGGAAAACAGAATGCTAAGCAAAACAATCACATTAAAGCTGTAAAAGGGTTATATTTCACATACAGCAAGCAAAATGGTTTATTTATTCACTAAGACACATTCTAGTGAGCAAAGTCTAGATCATTATACAGGAGTACTGTGCCTTTAAGGGCTACGCCAAACTGAAGTCACACGTACACTGTGCTTCCACCACGTGATGGGCGGAGAAAGCTGCCGATCTGTGCTCCCAATGAGATGCCAGAATAGCTCAGCAGACGCAAACAATAGGCTCGCATTCTGTTAATTTCTCAGGGTAGGCACAGCTGGTACCCACCTAACAAAGCTATTCCAAGCATAGACTTTCAGTTCCAAAGAGCAGAGACTGTTTCCTTGCATAGGGCTTTCACTTCCTACCCACCCAATCCCATGTCCCTGTTTTGTATGTGGGGCAGAACGAGTTTTTCCAACACGTCAAGTAAATTACTGCGTACATGCTGCTGTTGGCCATCAAAACAAACAACTCCACCCGTTGCCACCAAAAAATAATAATAGTTTGAGGCATCTTGAGGTTTGATGCTCTACAAACTATTCTCACAGAGATCTAGTCATTGAAAATGTGATTACCTCCATCATTGTCTGGTTCTGCTCTGCTCCAAAAACCAATTGGTGAGCATTATGAAGTGGGCTGAGACTGGCTACAACCTTCCACCCCTAGCCAAACTTCACAAATCTTTAGCAGTCAATAGGGTCACCAAGATTACTGTAGATCATTCCCATTCATCATTTATTTCGACAGCATCCCTTGGAAAAATGTCTTAATGCAATCAAAACTGAAAACCCACAGACTCCAGTTCCTCTTCCAGTGGTGCATCTTTGAATAACCAACATCCTCTCCCGAACAGTTCCACATCTCATGCGAGGGGAACTTTGCGGGTTTCGTGAACATCATGAGCTGCACAATATTGGGAAATCTTCTAATAATGCATTGCGATTTTCACGATAAATACTGCAATAAAACCCATCTATGTGATTAAAACAGCAAGGATGAAAACGATTATGATCAGGGAGCACACACAGAGCTTTTTTTAACATATACTAGATCCCACCTTACAATTTTGCATTCTAGGAACATTTACTGAATGTTTCCATGCCTTAATCGTAACACTCAACGTGTCCAGTTTTCCCAATGTTCCCAGAATGTTAACCCACTACTAGAACTACTACAACTAAAAATAATAATGCAGAAACAATTAAAGGGCATGGGACAGAAGTGGGTAACACTGCTTTATACCTCCATGGGTTCAAGGATGGATGTCATGTTCTGTGTCAAAAAAGCACTTTTATAAAATATTTTGTTGTTACGAAATAATATTGTTCAACATTAAAATTACGATAAAAGGATGTTCTATTGTGTGCTATTGTGCTAACATTGACAGAACCTTTGTTATAATGTAAAACATTTAAACAATGTTCCATTAATGTTACAGTAAGAACATTTTTCTGCCATCTTTGAGAAGTAACATTGGCTAAAGTTCTTGTAACATTCCATGTTAGCTGGGATACTCTTGAAAAGGACCAATCATTAAAACTGCAAAGCTTGCTAGTTTTATTTTCTATTTTTTTATTTTAGTGAAACTTAAACCCCCCCCCACTATAATGTCCAGACCATATGAAGGTAGGAAAAAGCCTGATCTCAACCTAGCTATCGCGACTGTTGTGATGTGAGAATTGCATGTGCATAACATGCGATATGGGTATTACGTATTGCACATTTCCTAGCCTTAAAATAACACATACTTTGGCATCTCTGAAGTGTATGTCTGTGTGCACATTCTGAAGAAACATGACAAGATACAGTTCTCCAGGGTTCACCCTGCCTTGGGCTCTGTACCACCTGCCATAAGTGCCACTGTGACCCAGCACTACACAAGTGGTGCATGACTGTCCATTCCACAAGGAGTAAAAAGACAAGTGTGATTATGATTTACATCAGACTGATTTAAACTAATGTCTGTTCAAACTGTAAAGTACAGCGCAACAGCTTCATAGAAATACCTGGGTGGGGATGGGGGGGGGGGGGGTGTTATGTGACAGATCTATGTAGGACATAACATGTGGAAGTGAAAATTACGTTACTGGAAAAAATTCAAAACCAACCAAAAAACGTCACAATTGGGGGAAACTGTCCATGGGAAGTGGAAATAGGCACCATAAAAGGCTGAGCAGGCAGACAGTCTCTCCCTCAAAAGGAATGGAATATTTCATATTGTGTGTGTGTATATGTGTAATATATATATATATATATATATATATATATATATATATATATATATATATATATAT